TCTTATGTGGTGCTGAGGAATCGAACCCAGGGCCTCATGCATGCAAGGCAAGTGCTCTACCACCGAGCCACCTGCCCAGCCCCAAAATAAAATTCTTTTATTTCCCCTTTTTTCCTTCCTCTTCCTTCCTATCCTCATCCCCCTTTGCTATGTTAAGCCTAGGTTGGCCTTGGATTCAAGATCCTTCTGCTTCAGCTTCCTGAATGCTGGAATTATAGGTGTTCATCTTCATACCTGTCTTAAAGATTGGTCTTTTGATGGTCATACTTAAAACAGATAACTATGTTGATCCTTCAGTATGACTTTCCAACTCCTATAGGTGTTGGAATATATAATCCAAAAGTATAGGAGCTGTTTAAGGTGGCTGTTAATTTGAAGAAGGAATGAGATGTGAAGAATCTATAGGAACACAAAGGGTAAAGCATTCATCTTGTTGGTAGTACAAGAAGTTGGAGGCAATGACCATTAATCAGAGAATGGTAGAAGGGCTGATGACAGACAGAGATTATGGGGGAAGGTGAAGGAAGTCTGAATTGAATTATGTAAGAGTCTTGATATGGATTCTATTATAAAATGAGGTAGTGAAGACTTTTTCAGGTTTTTAAAAATTATTATCTTTAAGTAGTTGTACAAAGAAGTTTCCATTCTATAAAACAGTATATGAATACAAGGTATCAGACAACATTGTCACTCATTGCTCCTAACCCATCCCTTCTCTCACTTTTTTTAAAAATAGACATGAGTTGATTACATAAATTTCACATATTTCACAGTATTGTGGAATAGTGATACTTAGTTAAATTCACAAACACATTTTAACCTTGATAAGACACTTTGTCATTATCAAGGTCTAGACAGTTTGTGAGTTCTATGAGCTTTGACAATACAAATTATTTCTTCCACACCAGGTGATGTTTACATTTCTTTCCTTTTGCTTAGTTTAGGCTGTTTCCTCTTTCCCTATCATTCCTCCCTTCCTATCGCTGTCTTTGGGTTGCTTAGTTCTTTTTCTTCTATGTCCAGTGCAGCTGATGGGCCCCTTTGTTGTATGCTGTTCCATTTCCCACTTAATTCTGTGTCCTCCTCCTGTTGAAGACAGTATTTTTTGCTGTGAGCTTATAGATGCCAAAGCAGATTTGTATGTTTTGACTTGGAGTATTATAAGAATCTTGTAATTTTTATATATAAATACAATTCAGATACAACTACAATGAGAATTTTACTGAAACTGTATTAGTATCTGAACGTATGTCAGTGTTATGTAGTTTTGGTGACACTTTATCCTTTTTCCAGCTTAAATCTCAACTGTTTCTTATTCCTGCTCTTTTAGATTAGATTACAAGGGAAGTAATTCAAGTTTGAATGTAGTCATGTTGGAGACAATTGGAATGTGAATAAAACGTTTTGTTATAACTGTTTGTTATAAGTTATACAAGTATATTATTTTTAAAATTCTTGGATTACTATTTCTGGATTACAAACTTTTCAGTTTTGATCTGACTGATGTATGAGCTATTAGACTTTTTTTTAACTTAAAAACATTCAGCAATCTTCTATATGTTTCAAAACAGTGGGGACTAGAAAAATCAGATATAATGTGATTATGGCAAGTAGATAGCTAGGTTTTCTGGACTGATCTTGACATTTAGATACAAGTGCAATTGTCTGACAGTGTGTCCTTATATTTGGCTCAGGAAAAAATACAGTTACCATAATGAGATTTAGTGTCTAAAATAGAGAATAGAAAGGATGTAAATAGAAAGAGTGATGGGATGGGAAGGGAAAACAAGGAGGAGGCTACAATGCTTGATAAGAAATGTACTCATTATCTTGCCCATGTAATTGTAACCCCTCTGTACAGTATTTTCACAATAAAAAAAAAAGAGTGAGGGCTGGGGGAATGGCTCAGGTGGGTAGAGTGCTTGCCTAGGAAACTCAAGGCCCTGAGTCTAAATTCTAGTATTGCAAAAAAAGGGGGGAATACAATGAGTATGATGTCACTATGGGCTGAGTGTTGGTGGCTCACATTTGTGATCTGGCTTCTAAAGAAGCTGAGATCTGAGAATCATGGTTCAGAGCCAGCCTGGGTAAGAAAGTCCATGAAACTCTTAACTCCAGTTAACTACCAACAAGCTGAAAGTGGAGCTGTGGCTCATTGGTAGAATGCTAGCTTGAGAAAAAAGCTCAGGGATAGCACCCAAGTCCCAAAACTGGCGTGCCCGTGTGTGTGCGCGTGCGTGTGCGCACGTGCGTGTGTGTGTGCGCACGCGCGCACACACACATACGTGCACGCACACAAAATAGTATGTATAATATTTGATTTTTATTATTTACTCATGATTTCTGTTAAAACTATTTCATGACATTATTTCCTTTCTGCAGTTTTCAACTTGACCAACAATGTGGATTTGGAAAACACAAAAAAGAAAATGGAGATATACCAAAAGGAAAACAAAGATGTCATTCAGAAAAATAAGTTAAAACTGGTTGGTTGTTAAATATTTTCTCCTTTGCATTATATAAGTTAAAACTGATTGGTTGTTAAGTATTTTCTCCTTTTCATTATGATAATTGCTTCTACATGATCCTTTAAAAAGCTCTCTTTCCTTAAAACCAGCTGTATTAACAAGGTTTTTAGCTGAAATTTAGGCCAGAGATACTAATAGGTATTGTATAGGCATGCAGGTGAGGATGAATACATTATTATAACAAAAACAACTTTGACAGAATTATATTAGACTGTGCTGTCCTTAAGGTAGTTGTATGTTACAGTTAATTTTTGTTGTTGTTATTGTGCTGGTTCTGAGGCTTGAACTCCAAGCCTGAGTGCTTTCCTGAGCTTTTTTGCTCAAAGCTAGGTGTGCCTGCCTTTGTTACTGTTGGTTTTGTCTGTATAATTTTTTGTTAAGTTTGCATTTGACTAATAGTAGGCCCCATGGCTGACAGAAAACAAAACAAAAATCAGCTCTCAATTTTTTTTTTTTAAATAACTTGGGTCTCTAGTTTTGGGGGAAACGTAGAGGAAACTAATTTTTTTTTTTTTTGTGGGTCATGGGGCTTGAACTCTGCCTAAGCACTGTCCCTCAGCTCTTCAGCTCAAGACTAGCACTCTACCACTTGAGCTACAGTGCCACTTCCGTTTTTCTGGTGGTTTATTGGAGATAAGAGTCTCACGGACTTTCCTGCCCGGGCTGGCTTTGAACCGTGATCCTCAGATCTCAGCCTCCTGAATAACTAGGATTATAGGCATGAGCCACCGGCGCCCAGCAGGAAACTACTTTTGAGGTTCCTTATCAGAATTTTTTATTAATCATCACTAAACAGATAGTAGGATATTTGGATCATATACCTTGCATTTTCATTTTGTGTTTGGAAGAAGTTTCTTTAGTCATATCTTGCCTGTCAGTCATAAAGCTCTCAAGGAATTAGCACTCCTATTCATATGTAACCTTACTTTCTTAAAAAAGATATCTCATTCCTGAGAATATTAGTATGCAATAAGAATTAGTCTCTTTGCCTACTAGCCTTCTCTGGGTACTTTGAAAGATACTTCAAAATGGTATGCCTTTGCAAATTACTGCATTAGCCCTATTTAATACAATAATAGTGGGTTTTTTTTTCAACTGAGTGTTCTTTCCATCCACAGTTGATGAAAGTAATTTAATTCTAGACTAGTGGTATTATTTAAAAGTAGGAATTTATAATATTTGAGAATGATATAACGATAGGTGATTGAATAAAGTGATACTTTATTTCATACATACTACATTTATTGATCTTTCTGTGTATTGTACTTGTTAGTGATTCTATATGCTTGTTGACAAAGCATATAGCCTTAAGGCCACATATTTTAAGATGTTAGTTTAATTATAACATTGCTTATAGTGAGCCCTGAAGCAGTCTATAAAGCAAAAGCTACCTTAAATGTTGATTTTTTAAAAAATAACCTAAGATAGCCACTTGCCTTTTATTATCTCTATGAAATCTTATTTTTCCAGAAATATTAATGATGTATAAAAGATGGAAAAAAAGGTGATCTCTTGCTTGATTTAGTATATAAAATGACTTGACAGAGAATATTAGTATGGAGTTGTCTACTGAGAAAGGCTTACTTGTTTCATGGAGTTGACATCTGACTTCGGTATGAGTGTGGAAAAACCAAACAAAAATACTTAAATCTTAAAAAAGAATATCAGTTAAGATTAGGTTATTTTTTATTTTATTTTTTTGGGCTTTCATGCATAGCAGAGATTGCTGTGTAAAAATTCCAGCAATTTAGAGAAATAAATCATTTTAGTACATACTTTTTGTATATCTGATAAGCATATAGTACATGAAGATGAAGAAGCAGCTACGTCCAGGTAATTTCACAGTGTGTTGTGAGGACATGGAAAGACTGATGTGCCTTTTAATGAGAGTATAGAAGTATAATCAATTTATTCTGAAAGAATGAAAAAGTGTTCCAAGGAAGAGGATGTATGAGTAGAATAGAGTCTTTTTTTTTTTTTTCTTTTTTGTGCTGGTAACTGAGGCTTGAACTCCCTAGGTTTTTTGTTTTTTTGTTTTTCCCACTTAAGGCTAGTACTCTACCCTTTGAGCTATAGTCCTATTTCCAGCTTCTTGGTAATTAATTGGAGATAAGAGACTTTCCTGTCCAGGCTTGTTTCAAACCATGGTCTTCAGACTTTAGCCATGAGCCACTGATGCCTGGTCAGAATAATCTAGAAGAACTAGTAGAAGTTATTTAATTTAAGAATTTGGGAATGGGTTAGAAAGGCAGCATGAAGATATTTCAGGTGAAATGAATGGAGGAAAGAACACAAAGATATTCATGGAGAGTTCTGAGAGTTGTAATTCTATATTGTGAAAGCTTGTATGTATGAGAGAGAGAAAGAGAAAGGGAGAGAGAGAAATAGACACACAGAGTTTTTATTGGAGAAGTAGAGAGGGCCTAAGTCACTGTGAAAAGCTCTGTTTCTGGTTTTTGGTGGTAAATTGGAGAGAAGACTTTCTTGGCTATGCTGGCTTTGAACTGTGATCCTCAGACCCAGCCTCCCTGTTTGAAGTCTTTAACTCAGTCTTTATATATTTTACAGGGCTTCTGTAAAAAGCTCAAACTAGGTGGCTTATATCAGCAGGAATTTTATCTTCTCAGCATTACATAACTTAGAAGTCTGAATTCAAGATTTCAGCAGGGCCATGCTCTCTCTAAAAGCTCTAGAGGAGGACCCTTCTTTGCTGCTTTTAGCTTCTGTGGTAGCTAGCAATGTTTTCAGATGCATCCCTCTAATCTCTGCCTCTGTCTTGACTTGGTGTCTGTTTATAGTATGGACTTGCTTTAACTTGATTACATCAATAAGGTCCTATTTCCCAAATAAGATCACATTTGTTTGGCGTTTAACATATTTTAGGGGACAGAATCCCACTTAAAACACTAAACCTGTTTTGGCTTGGATATGTATTCTCTAGAAAAGTTTATCACCTATTAATTTTGTCTTTACTATGTACCTGACTATACCTTCTTAACATTTGCAATACTTAATTGCAAGTACATGCACACACAAGAACTACTTATGTATATAACTTTTAGATTTAGTCCTACCAATTCTTCTAGACAATTGGGAGTCTTAGTTCCAATAGTGTCTTTGGTAATAGTGGTGGAAAGTTTTGCAAAATATTGGGAGATGGTTATAAAACTCTAGCAGCTGAATTAAAAAAGGGAATGGAGAGAGGGAGTAGTCAAAGATGACTGAGTTCATGCTGCTTTACTTCTACTGGTTTACTCCTAGTAAAGTAAGAAATACCGGAGAACAGATGCTTAGTTTTGCATATTTTACTACAGTATATGAGCGCAGTTGGGAACTTAGTTTATTGAGGCGTGTGAAATGAAAGAATCCTCTAATGAATTAATTTAACTGTACTAATTATAATTTTAAGTATTGTTCGCATGACTTGAATGGTAGATTGCTTGCTTTGTAAGCATGAAGCCCTGGGTTCAGTTTTGTTATAGATATAACAAATATATAAATAATTCATGTATTCAAAACTCTACTTGTTAAGTGCAGTTATTATAGTTCTGCTTCTGAACTTTGTGTACTTCGTTTAGATATTTGTTTAGGTGTAGGTATCATTCCTTTTAATACTAACATGCTTACATGAAATAAAATAACTTGCTTCCTTTTATGCAAAAGTGCTATATTATTAAAAATAAGTGATTAGGGTGTTTTATTATACTTCCAGTAAGTAGAGTTTGGTATGGATTTCTGCTGATTGCTAAATTTATTCCATGCCATATATAAATTTTTGTTTTAGACTCGGGAACAAGAAGAATTGGAAGAAGCTTTAGAGGTAGAACGACAGGAAAATGAACAAAGAAGACTGTTCATACAGAAAGAGGAACAACTGCAGCAGATTCTCAAAAGGAAGAATAAACAGGCCTTTTTAGATGAACTGGTATGTATTCATGCTAATTATGATGAAGAAATGTTTTCCTTCCTATCATGCTAGTCAATGGCCTTTAAATAGCATTCCCAAACTGTTAATGCTCTTGTTTACTATTAGTTATTTATTGATACTAAAAATGTCTTTTTGAATAAGAAGCCATATCCTCCACAAATAAGTGAGCAAATAATAACCTTTTATGTTTACCATTCTGTGAGTCAGGAATCCAAGTCGTCTGTGGGCTATTTGGACAGGTTACATAGTAGTATTTCCACTATATTTCTTAGTAAGAGCCCACTCAGTTTTAGTCTGAAGGGATATATATCCTACCACTTGGCAGGAATATTATGGTCATTTTTAATCAACATAGTATGTACTTGGAAAAGAAATAATATTTCCCAGAATCTGGCATAATTTAATTCATGTACCCAATCTGTACTTCAGAGCTTAGTGATTGAAATTATGAAAATGACTTTAATTGTAATTTTTCTTATTCATCAATGTACTGATTTATAGCTTGCCAGCTGCTATGAAGGATTTGAAGTGATTTTTTTCCCTAGGATATGGTTGTTTTGTAGACATGGCACTATTTATAGACTTTAAAGAAAGTTCTTGTGTATTCTCTCTCCCTCCTTCCCTCCTCCTCTCTCTTCTGTCTCCCTCCCTGTCCCTTTCCCTTCCTCTTTTTCACTCTCTTTTTTTCTCTTCTTTCTGTCTTCTCCCTCTTCTTTCTTTTCGCTTCCTCCCTCCCTTCTTCTCTTTCTCGCCTCTTCCTCCCTTGTCCTTCCTTTCTTTTCCCATCTCTTCCCCCTCCTCTTTTCCCCTCTCCCTCCTCCCCTTTCTCTGTCCTCTCTTTCCATCCCTCTCTCTTTTCTTTTTGTTACTTTATTTTCATATGAGAAAGACAAATCACTGATCTAGCCAGGATACTTTTAATAGATTGTCTGTGTTTATAAGTTTACTGACTAAAATGTATTGTTTTCAGAGTATTTTTCTCTTGATTAATTTTCTAATAACTACCTCATTTTTCAGTTATTGGTTCTGTGATGAAGTTTATAGTGACTTTGTACCAGTGTTAGAACTGTATTTTATATTTTGTATGAAAAATGTTTCAGTTTAGTGTTTTCTAGTAACTAGTTCCTTAGTTTTGTTAGATAATAGCAATGATAATAACTAAATATTACTATTAGTGAAGTATTTCATAGATTTATACCATATTATTTGATACAACCCCATGTGATTGATATTGAAGATATCACAGACTAGAAAACTTTTTGTCCAAGAGTCTTTGTGTCCTGCCTTTTCATTTCTGTACATATAAATTCATTTCCAGCAGGCATTCCTTTAGTTTTAGTTCTTAGTTCCTTTGTCTTAATTGGTACTCTGTTATTCTAGGATGGGGTAAATGTGTATGTAATTTTCTCATTTGCTTTGCCCCCAAAGCATTTAAGCCAGTTAATCAGGAATAACAAATGGAGGTTACTTAAATGAGAGAGGTGAGAAAGTAAAAACAAGGAAAAGGTGATTACTGAGGCTTACACATAGCATGTTTATCATAAACCCTGTCTACTTTCTATGAGTGGAGAGTGATTCATTTCTAATAATGAGGCAAGTGTATAAAAATAGAATAATAATAGTGAATAGGTGGTGGGCTTGGCTTTAGCAGTTGAATTAATGCACATTGTATTCTATATATTTGAATAGGTTTGGTGTTTGGTGAGAAATTAAAGTTATTAAAGGATGGATTGCTAAATATTAATGATACAATTTTTATATCCTCAGTTCTACAAACAAAATATACTTATTGGGCATAATGCTTCTCTGTATGGCTAACTGAATTAATCCTAAATACACATATTAGGTGAAAGTATACTATTTTTATTTCATCAAATATCAGGTTTTTTTAAGGTTAGCTACTTTGCATGGCAATTATTCTGGCATAATTTTTCGTCCTAAAAAGTACTAAGCTTTGCTGCTTCACTGAGCTGCTATTGGCATGAAGCTCCTTCTAATTCAGTGAGGCATGAAGCAAGAGGTGAAACTGCCAGCGTCCTACACTGTGTATAATCTGGAGTTAATATTGGTTTTTGTGAGTCTCCCTCCCCCCACTTCCTGTTTTCTTCACCTGCAAGTCATTACCGCACATACTTTCCTCACTATTTAGATCATGTAACATGGTGGTTATATAAAGTTTTAGTAATTTACTGTACTCATTAGTACAATTAATTACAACAGATTGGTTTAGAATACCACTGCAGTTTGCCTTTCTGGTTTTCATTTTAAAATTTATTTAAAAAATTTAGTTATATTCATTTTTCATTTTTAGTAATTTTGTTATATATTTTAACATTTTTAGTTCTTATTAACTAATTGACTCATTAAATTTCTTTTATCTTCTTGAACTATTATTTACTCAAGAAATAGTATATTTCTTTTTCTATATATGTTCACTTGTTAGATTATTATAAAAAATAAGACGATAACATTGGCATTTGTAAATATGCCTAGATATTTAAATCCTTGGATTATTCCCTGGAACTAATTTATACAAGTACTACTTGTTGCGTCCTGTTTTTGAGATTGGTCCTTCTGTCAAAAGTCACTCTGAAACCTTTTAAAAAGCATTGACATTAGATTATACTGTATGTGACAGGATTTTAATGTTATGGTCTTAATGTTTATGGCTTAGCATTTGCCATAACATTGGCTTAAAAATCCATTTATTTAATTCTTATTGTAAATTCAGTTTTTTTTAACAGTTTGGAAAAAGATTTTTAATCAGGTCCTGTCTTATTAAATCTTTTTATATTCCTGTTTGAAAATTCTCTTCAGTTTATGTCTTAAATTTTGTATGAGTTAATATTGTTGTCAAACGCAGTAGCTGATTTTTATTAGAAATATTGTTTGCCAGATGGCTTGCTTAAAGTCAGTTAAAATAATCTTTTAAAAGGGTCATTATAAAGCTTTTAATGAGTATTACAGGCAGTCTTATTAAAATTTCTTTAAATATTAAACAGTGTGCCTTTAGGCAATTATTATAGGGTATAGAACCTTTCAAGGTGAAATATAATGCCAAGAAGACTGAAATAACTTGAAAGACTGAATTTGCATGTTCTGTGTTTCCCACAGCATATAGGTTTCACAATTTATCGTGCTCAGTAGATTTTTTTTTTTTTGGTTAAAGTTCATGTTTTATTCTAGCTTAACATTTTCAAAGACTTTCAGGCTCTAAAATTTTGAGTTCTAAAGTATAAGTAGATTTAAAGTAAATTTGTAACAGTATTTAAATTAGTTTTAGATACGTAGGAATTTGTTTTTTATGAAATGTTACTATTTATCAAGACATTTTTAACATTCAGTTCCTTTTAATGTGAATTTGAAATGAGGATTAAAGCAAGCCAGTGTTGCTTATTAGCAACTTTTTCAAAGTGAATACATTATTTTGCTTTATATATAAAGAACTTTTGCTTTTTAGAAAAATTGTCAGTTGTGAATTAGCACCAGAATTTATTGGGAGCCAGTGATTTAGTTTATTAGCCATTATTTTTATTAGTTTATTAGCTATTATTATTAGTTTATTATTCCTTTTACATTTATTTTTTGTTTGTTCATTTGTTTGTTTCTTTCTTGTCAGTCATGGGGCTTGAACTCTGGGCCTGGGCTTTGGCTCTAAGCTCTTCAGCTCAAGACAAGTGCTCTACCACTTGAGCCATAGCGCCACTTCTGATTTTCTGGTAGTTAATTGGAGATAAGAGTCTCACAGACTTTCCTGTCCAGGCTGGCTTTGAACCATGATCCTCAGATGTTAGTCTCCTGAGTAGCTAGGATTATAGGCATGAGCCACTGGCACTGGCTTGATTTAATTTTTAAACATAAGTAAAGGAGAAAATAAATATATGATTGGTTGTATTTACAATAGTTCCTTTGTGCAAAACAGAACAAAGATCATTTCCCAACAGCCCCAGGTGAAATCTAACAGGAAAGAATTTCAAAATGGTCTGAACTCACTAGTAAAGAGAACATGTGTCTTAGATAAACATCTGATCTAAGTTATAGTACTTTTGTCTTTGTACTACTCTTTTTGTGATTAGCTTTTTTTTTTTTTAAATAAATCATGTTGGTGACTAAATGAAATGGGACCCTGTAATATGGTCTTTAATGTGGACTTTATAAAAATACTGTTTGCAGGTTATTTTGATTTATGAGTTTCAACACCCTTATTACGGAATGTTAATTATTTTTGTTAAAAACTTTACATAAAGTATTTAGTTTGACATCAAATAATTATAGAAAAGGCATACTTTTTTTTTCTCCAAATTCTTTGTTGTGATTAAGTGGTTACATAATTTCCCACATTTCACAGTATCGTGGGATAGTGATACTTAAAGTCACAAACACATTCTAACTTTTGTGGGGCAAATTGTCTGTTGTGGTCTATAACATTTATGAGTTCTATGAACTTTGGCAATACATAAGCATACTTTAAGAGACTTGTTACTTCTAATTTTTTCCTTTTTAAGTTTCATCTTGAACTTTCCTTACAGGAGAGTTCTGATCTCCCTGTTGCTCTGCTTTTGGCTCAACATAAAGACAGATCTACCCAACTGGAAATGCAACTTGAAAAACCTAAAACTATGAAACCTGTGACATTTTCCACTGGTATCAAAATGGTAAGCTTTATTCTGATAACTTATTTGAAAAGATACTTTATGAGGATTACACTCTATGATTCCATTGATTTTTACACTGAACTGAAAGATGTATATATTTAAGACCAGTGTCAGTTCTTAGTTAGATGTCTAAAAATATAGTTATATGCAGGAAAGTGAAAAGTAATAATTTTCAAAGTAGACAACACAGTTTTGTTGAGGGTAAATTAGAACCAGTGTCTGGCTGCCCTGTTCTTTTAAAAGTACTGCTATATGCAGTAGGTGGGCAACAAAGTAGGTGGAAACAAAGGTAAGCAGGACCAAAAATAAAAGAAGAGAAAAGGGAGAGAAAAACAGATGGAACCCAGTTTTTCTGCTTATGTGGTGCTGAGGAATCGAACCCAGGGCCTCATGCATGCAAGGCAAGCACTGTACCACTGAGCCACCTTCCAAGCCCCAAGAAACATTGTTTATTTTGGATAGTTTTCTTGTTAAACACATGGAAATACTTTGCATGTTTGAGAATTACCAATTTCTTACATGCTATTTTGGTGAAACAGCAAATTGTTCATGTAATGTAAACACAGATTATATAGGGAACTTTTCACTTCTGGGGTTTTAGTTTTCATAAGATAATTAACAGTTTCTTTCAAATCATACATGTATATATGCACACACACATATACATACATACATTTCTTTTTTTTGAGACAGGGTCTTACTGTGTAGCTCAGGTTGGCCTCAGACTAAGTGATGGGATTACAAGCTACCACATGCCATTCAAATAATATTTGATAATATATTTGAAATATCATAAACTTGAATTTATATTGGATGACATAATAAATGTAGGCAAATGATTTTCATTTCAAATTTTCTTCATCTTATTGAGTTATAGTCTGCTTTAAATTAAGATTGAGGGAAGGGATGGGTAGGAGAGGGTTGAGTGAGAATGTGGAAAGGGGTGATGGAATGACATTGGTCAAGATATATTGTATTCATAAACTGCTTTGTTAGACAACTCCATTATACAATTACTTAAAGATAATAAAATAAAAATGAATGTTAATAGTAGGAATGGACTTTTTAGTATACATTTTAAGTCAATATAGCGAGATATTGTCAACTACCTGTGGACCTACCTTTTTAATAGATCACTAATTACATTAAGAAGGCATCAAGAAAGATCATTTTATAGCATCAAATGTGTTTGCATGTGAACATGGACTATGAATGTTGTTAGCTCAACCTGTCCTTTTTCCTTCTGTGTTCACTGTGTGCAGTGGAAGTCAGTAAGAGTACATATACTTAGAATCTTCATTTATTTTTCCAGTGTACCACAGTGTACTGCCTTGGTCTGCTGAGTTCTGGGATTGTAGGTTTGAATTACTAAGCCTAGTCTCCAGAGTGTCTCTTGAGTTCAATATACAATGTAGGAGACAATAGAAATGAATTTTACACAAGAAGTAATTTTATACCTTTAACCAAATGTTTTATCTTTGGTAGTAACTCTTAAAAAGCCATTTTATATACTTACTTTTTTGAATAAGATTATTGCTATTGATATAGCACTATAAAATACTGGTTTAGTTTTGGAAATTAGATCTATACATGTAATTACTTATTTCTGGTACAAAGCCTTTTATTGAAATGGTAAATGGTGATGCATACTTCTTTTGCTCTTAATAGTTCTAGGAAAGGCCATCTGTAAGCAAGCTGTCTCCCTTTTCCCAGTACTGACTTACACGGACTTATACAAAGAGAAGTTAGGGGATGTAAAAGAATAGTTGAAGACACCATTTATTCTGATGCCTTGAGCAACCCTGGTGTTGTTTCAAACTGCCTCTTTATAGAAGATAACACTGGCAGTGATTAGGGTTTTAGTGTGAGACTGGGCAAGTTCAAATTCTGGCCTCTGTCTATAGGACTTGGACAGAATAACCTTGCCTTATTCATACTTGGAATATTCATTGCAATATGGTATGTATGAAGATGAAGTAATGTAATGAGGTGTTCAGAAAAGAGCTTTTGAATAATCTTAGATGCTGTCGGTTATGAAGATAAACTGTTTCCCAGATTTAACCTATTAGTTCTTCCATAAAGACATAATTAACAATAAAGAAGTAAAAGGAAGGAAATTAGGTGACTAACTCCAAACATAAGATATATCTAAAATCTGGAGGAATCTGGAATCTGCCAGAATTTTAAGTCCTCTACAGAAAAATGGAGAATCATTTGGTGTAAGTTGTAAATAGGCTAATTAGAAATGATTATAGTCTGTTAAAAAGCATTAATTATTTTTTAAATTATTAAAGGATGACTTAAGGGATAATTACACTTTACAAATCATAGTAACATTAAGAGTAAATTTGTTTTTTTGGGGGGTTTCATATTTTATGGGAATTTGATTAGGCAGACATTATTTGTTGAATACATGCAAAAACAAACACTAGTTTACCCATCCATTGTAATTACTGGGAGCAGAAAATAAGAATACAAAGAAGCTTAGAAGAATTCATAGTTACAAAGCAATCTAATGCTTTCTTAATTAAAATGCCTTAGTTAAAGAAGTTGTCTAAGTATACTTTGTGTTACCATGGTGAATGATGTTGGTGCAACGACTTAATGTATCTTTGGTAAGGTTCATTTATCCTAGAAAGTCTCAAGAAGCAGAGAATTTATACCTCTCCCTCTCCCCCGCCCCCTCTCTGCGTGTACTGGGGCTTGAATTTAGTTCTTGCTTAGCTTTTTTCTGCTCAAGGCTGGCACTTTTATCACTTGAGCCACACCTCTACTTCCAGCTTTTGGTGGTTAATGTGAAATAACAGTCTCATGGACTTTCCTGCCTAGGCTGGCTTTGAACCAGGATCCCTAGATCTCAGCTTCTTGAGATTTTCTTGGCTACACTAGCTCTGAAACCAGGATCCTTAGATCTCAGCCTCCTGAGTAGCTTGGATTACAGGTGTGAGCCACTGTCACCTGGCTCCTATGTCCTTTTGTATGACAAATACTGTGGTTTGTATGTATCTCTATAAGAGAGATACCTAATTTTATCTATGTCTGTCTTTTTTTTTTTAATTTTTTTAAAAATTTTTTGGGTCCGGTCATGGGGCCTGAACTCTGGGCCTGGGCTTTGGCTCTAAGCTCTTCAGCTCAAGACAAGTGCTCTACCACTTGAGCCATAGCGCCACTTCTGATTTTCTGGTAGTTAATTGGAGATAAGAGTCTCACAGACTTTCCTGTCCAGGCTGGCTTTGAACCATGATCCTCAGATGTTAGTCTCCTGAGTAGCTAGGATTATAGGCATGAGCCACTGGCACTGGCTTGATTTAATTTTTAAACATAAGTAAAGGAGAAAATAAATATATGATTGGTTGTATTTACAATAGTTCCTTTGTGCAAAACAGAACAAAGATCATTTCCCAACAGCCCCAGGTGAAATCTAACAGGAAAGAATTTCAAAATGGTCTGAACTCACTAGTAAAGAGAACATGTGTCTTAGATAAACATCTGATCTAAGTTATAGTACTTTTGTCTTTGTACTACTCTTTTTGTGATTAGCTTTTTTTTTTTTTAAATAAATCATGTTGGTGACTAAATGAAATGGGACCCTGTAATATGGTCTTTAATGTGGACTTTATAAAAATACTGTTTGCAGGTTATTTTGATTTATGAGTTTCAACACCCTTATTACGGAATGTTAATTATTTTTGTTAAAAACTTTACATAAAGTATTTAGTTTGACATCAAATAATTATAGAAAAGGCATACTTTTTTTTTCTCCAAATTCTTTGTTGTGATTAAGTGGTTACATAATTTCCCACATTTCACAGTATCGTGGGATAGTGATACTTAAAGTCACAAACACATTCTAACTTTTGTGGGGCAAATTGTCTGTTGTGGTCTATAACATTTATGAGTTCTATGAACTTTGGCAATACATAAGCATACTTTAAGAGACTTGTTACTTCTAATTTTTTCCTTTTTAAGTTTCATCTTGAACTTTCCTTACAGGAGAGTTCTGATCTCCCTGTTGCTCTGCTTTTGGCTCAACATAAAGACAGATCTACCCAACTGGAAATGCAACTTGAAAAACCTAAAACTATGAAACCTGTGACATTTTCCACTGGTATCAAAATGGTAAGCTTTATTCTGATAACTTATTTGAAAAGATACTTTATGAGGATTACACTCTATGATTCCATTGATTTTTACACTGAACTGAAAGATGTATATATTTAAGACCAGTGTCAGTTCTTAGTTAGATGTCTAAAAATATAGTTATATGCAGGAAAGTGAAAAGTAATAATTTTCAAAGTAGACAACACAGTTTTGTTGAGGGTAAATTAGAACCAGTGTCTGGCTGCCCTGTTCTTTTAAAAGTACTGCTATATGCAGTAGGTGGGCAACAAAGTAGGTGGAAACAAAGGTAAGCAGGACCAAAAATAAAAGAAGAGAAAAGGGAGAGAAAAACAGATGGAACCCAGTTTTTCTGCTTATGTGGTGCTGAGGAATCGAACCCAGGGCCTCATGCATGCAAGGCAAGCACTGTACCACTGAGCCACCTTCCAAGCCCCAAGAAACATTGTTTATTTTGGATAGTTTTCTTGTTAAACACATGGAAATACTTTGCATGTTTGAGAATTACCAATTTCTTACATGCTATTTTGGTGAAACAGCAAAT